AAAAAAAAAAAAAAGATTGCTAGGGCGGCGCCTGTGGCTCAGTTAGTAGGGCGCCGGTCCCATATACCGAGGGTGGTGGGTTCAAACCCGGTCCCGGCAAACTACAACAAAAAAACAGCCGGGCGCGGTGGAGGGCGCCTGTCGTCCCAGCTACTCGGGAGGTTGAAGCAAGAAAACCGCCTAAGCCCAAGAGCTGGAGGTTGCTACCGAGGTCGACAAAGTGAGATTCTGTCTTTAAAAAAAAAAAAGAAAAAAGGACGGGGGGAGAAACCCACAGTAAATAGACAAAATAAACAAATATAGAGTAAACAGAACCTAGAAAGGAAAGCCGAAAAAGCGGGAAATCTGTGGAGCTGACTTTAGGCAACCGCCATTTGGGGCAACGATTGCACATGCCCAGTACATTCTCTGCCGCCAAGCCCGTCATTTCGAGTCACTGCGCAAGCCCAGTATACTCGGGTGTTCCCCCGAGCTCACAGAACAAGATGGCGGCGGTCACGTGGGATTAGAGGTACAGCAGACCATCTGCTGTCGCGTGGTCAATGCCGCTACTAATACCGCCAGCCCCCTCCCGGTAGCCCTCGCACCTGAATACAGCGCGCCAGCCTCCCATAGTCTGAAATGTTTCACCTCCGGAAATGAGACCCGCCCGTCCGAGAGAAGCCCAAACCTTCGCAACAGAAGCTGTTACTCGTCCCGCTCATTACTCCCATTTTCGCAGCAAAAGTGTGCAGCGAGGAATAGCTACTCTACCGGACATAAGCGGCTTACCTGGAAATCAAAGCGTAGGAGGATAAAAGAGTGAATGAGCACCGCACAGCAGGAAGAATAAGGAAACTGCAGCGCCGGAGGACGACTTATAAAGCCTACGTAGCGAAAACGTCAGGGAACACCCGCCCAAACGCTCCGCCGTGTGCGCTCATTGGCTGAGGTTGGTGGGGGCGAAATTGTTCAGGGGTAAGGGAGCGCTGACGTAGCGGGACTTTCTGGGTGCTTTTGGGAACCGCGGCAACTTTTGTGCGAAACGTGCGGCCTGACGTCAAGCATCCCCTCACCAGTAGAGTTGTCTTCGTTCCTTTCCACATAGGAAGCTTCTCCCTCCCATTCTTTTTGGTCCCTAATGTCACCGTCTCGTCCTTAATGTCCATTCCCACATAGTATCTAAAGTCTTCCCCATCACAAACGTCGTCTTCTAGGTCCCTGCCGTCATAATTACCATCCTCTGATGTCAACCTCTTTTACTTTTTAGTTCTTTAACCTCATACTCCTTAAGAACCCGACGTTTTATCTCCTCCTGTT